CAACTTTTTTAATGGATCTGTTAGACCATATATTTCTTTTTAAAGGTCTTGCATATTTTCCCCACTGCTTAATATATTAATTGCATTTTATTCAATTTTCTAATATTTCATTTATTACTTTCTTCTTGCTTTCATTATAGTCTGACAATGATGGTGATGGTTATTTTAACACATTGTATCTTCCCCCAACGTTTTGTAAAATCACACCCATAAAGTGAAATGCAGTATTTACAATGGACTCCGCAGAAAATGCTTCAGCTGTACTTCATAAAAAGGAAAATACTTCAGCTGTACTTCATAAAAAGGAATTGGACAATGCTTGAGAATAATGAGACACTGATGATGTTGTTTTTATTGCTTTTGTGATGTCTTATACTGTTTAATGTTTTTTATCTATATTATGGTTTATGTATACTGATTTGTTGGAAACCGCCTTGAGTCGCCAATTGGCTGAGAAAGGCGGTATACAAATACAGTAAATAAATAAATAAATAGTCTGTTTAGCAAGCTTTCCAAAGCCTTGCAAATGCCCATTTATTATCAGTATTTTTTTTTTGTTTTTAAACATATTTTATATACACACATTTACCCCTTTTGCGGGAGGAAAGGGTCACAACTAGAAAGGGTTTAAGAAGCCCTGGACTAAACCATCTAAACTTGTACTGCCTGTTCCAAGTACGAAGACATCTTTTCCCCCTTTGTTACCAAAGATTCTTTAAAATCAAGAATGTCAAAAATTTCAGCCTTATGTCCACAGGGAAGCAAAAGGCTAAGACCAAAAATATCAGCATATTTAGCTTAAAGCTCTTCCAGCCAGGAACAAAGCATTGAGAGATGCATTTTAGATGTTTAGAATGAGGGAAAAGTACACAAGCTGGGAAAATACTAAACAACGGTGTATTCCTGCATGGCAAGGGGTTGAACTGGGTGGCCCTTGTGGTTTCTCCCAACTCTGTGATTCCAAGATTGAGTGGTACCTCAATAATGATAGCATAAACTTCTGAGATCCCAGGTCAGGCAGGTTTCATCACAGACCCTAGGATTTCCCATTCAGCCAAAGATTACACTGAGACCTTTCCACGCACAAAGCACATTGTCCAATACCACCAAATGCAGTGCTCAAACATGAATAGAAGAACACGAAAGGCACTGCAGATTGATTCAACTGGAAAAAGCAGCAGTAGCAGAACACATGATAAACCAAGTTGGGCACAGAATATTATTTGAGAACACAGAAATTCTGGATCACTCTGACAACCACTGTGTCAGATTACACAGAGAAGCCACTGAAATCCACAAGCACATGGTCAATTTCAAAAGAAAGGAAGAAACCATGAAAATTTGGGTACCAGTATTGAAAAACATTAGAATCAAGATAGTGACTAATGAGCACCATCAAGACACAGGAGGCCTCCAGGCAGGAAGCCATCAAGAGCCAGTGAACACCATCCAAAGGATGCCTCTAGGCAGCAAACAATTCAAAGGGAACAACGACCTAGCTATTTCCATGTTGATGCTCTACTCATATGGTAATGGGTGGATCCCATTCAACACATTAAAGAATCTAGCTTGCTAATTGAACTTTTCACACTTGGTTAATAGACATTGATGGTTTCTCCCACCTGGACATCCCACAGGTATATAAACTCCACTTGCTTGACTACCATCAGATCCTCTGAAGATGCCAGCAACAGATGCAGGAGAAACGTCAGGAGAAAATTCTGCTAGAACACAACCATACAGCCCGGAAATCACACAACACCCCACTGATATTATCATTATTAATTTGTGTGTAATTATAGATGGAAATCTCAAGCCTCTTCTACAAATCTTGGGAAATGTCTAGAGAAGACTAAAGTAACTGATGAATCAGAAAATTTTGAAGTCTGTTTCAGTTTCTAAAGATTTTTATTAAAACGCTGTTGACAGGTAAACAAATTACGAAGGCGAAAAGGCTAACCTAGCACCTGAAGGTCTCACTACGATAGACTAAAAACCACTACCTGCCTCAAATGACCTTAACATGTGAAAGTCTGTCCTGCTTTACTTTCCTACCCTTGGTACTTCTTTGTTCCGCTTTCTTGATGATCTTGAGTTATCACAATGATCAATTATCTTTATGCCAATGACAGTCTCTATGGAATTGGTATAGGCCAACCATCAAAATATGTTCTTCGGCCAGTTTACACCACCACTAAAAGGCAGCCATTTGTTTGCCTCCGCCATAACTAAAGTCCCATAATCTCTAGTCATCAATCACTCAACTGAGTAAAACCTTTTGATTCTAAATTCCAAGACCATTATTATTATGGACTAGCTGTACCCCCCACTGACTGCTGTGGCCAACCTTTCCTCCCTCTTTCTCCGCTCCTTCCTTACCTTCCCCTTTCCTTCCTTCCTTCTCTCCTCTTCCTTTCCTTCCTCCCCTTGTTTTTCCCTTCCTTTTTCTCCCCTTTCTTCCTTTTCTACCTATTCTTGGACTGCAATTCCCAACAGTCCTCCTGATCAATCTACCTACCTATTTATCTCTATCTAATCTATCTATCTTATCTGGAGGATTGCTGGGAGATGCAGTCCAGGAATAGGAAATTGGAAATATGTAGGGATTGGGATGCAGTCCAGAGAAATAGAAGGAGGAGAAAGCTTGCATCTTGTAAGCAGTGCATTTGGATCACCCTCCTCTTCTAAAGGGCCTGGTCTAGGGGATGCTGGGAGTTGTAATCTGAAAGAGTGTGTGGATATGCTCTTGTGTGTTTTGTTTGTGCGTTATAGTGTCTTTTTGCCTTTTTGGATTTTTAAGTCCATTCTGTTGCATTTTTCAGTGTTTTTATGAGTGATGGTCACTTGTTGGCCTAATAGGTGTATTGTGTCCAAATTTTGTGTCAATTCGTTCAGTGGTTTTTGAGTTATGTTAATCCCACAAACGAACATTACATTTTTATTTATATAGATTAAATTCAACGATTAATGGCATCAATTCCTGCAGAGTTTGTAGATGATGCCATGGAAACGCAGAGAAAACCCGCCACATGTGAACACAGATTTAACAGTCCCATTATGATAGATTCGCAGTTGAACGAAATTTACAAATAATAATAAACTTTATTTCTAGACCACCCTCTCTCCCCTGAGGGACTCAGGGTGGTTTACCTATAAAAAGGCAAACATTCAATGCCTCAAAATGGATACAAACACATCAAAATAACACAGGATAATGGACAGTAAACTTACAACGAAGGACTTAAGCATCAAAATAAAATAAAAAAGGATCAAAATATAATAAAAACAGGGACAATCCATTAAGATATAAAAACTAAAACTTAAGTAAACATTCAGTACACCCTAAAAGCAAGTTAAGAGACATTACATTAAAAATGGCTGACACCAGTACTTCAAGATGCGTCATAACAGCCATAAAATACATGCCAGCATTTAAAGTGTCCGAGTGTCCTAAGCTGTTTTTATAATATCAAACCCTAACACTATGTAGAGTTATTTGAAAAATAATTCTCTTCCTGGTTTGAAAGTGTTGCATCTGTTTGATTGTGCAGTACTTACTTTGAAAGTCGTTGTTATGCTACAGAAACTTGGTGTTTGTGACTGCCACAAACCATGTTGAATTGGTTGAGGCTTGATGAGATAGTCATTGAAAAACCATCGCAAAATGTGCTGCAAAATGTCTTGCCAAAACAAACTCTTTGTAGTTTAATTGTTGCATTTTTTTCATGTTGAGAAACTGCAAGTCACTTCTGTTGTGAGAGAATTAGTCGTCTGCAAGGACGTTGCCCTGGATGTTTGATGTTTTACCATCCTCTCATGTTTTTATTATTATTAACTAGCCATCCCCTGCCACACGTTGTTGTGGCCCTGTCTGTGTATGTATATGTGTGTGCATATATTTGTGTATATGTGTGTTTGCGTATATATGTGATTTTGCGCATGAGTTGTAATGTATTTTTTTGTTTTTTGGCTTTTTAAGTCCCTTCTTTTGTGTTTTTCAGTGTTTTATGAATAATGGTCACTTGTGGGCCTGATAGGTATATTGGGTCCAAATTGGTGTCAATTCATCCAGTGGTTTTTGAGTTATGTTAATCCCACAAACATACATTACATTTTTATGTATATAGATATCATTAATTGTTGCATTAATGATGGTTTTTAAACAATTGGAATTGCTGTGGTGCTTTTTACATATTTTATTAAGTATGCATGTATTTATTTGTTGGCTTTGAATACTTGCCTTTTATGATGTTAGCCCAGGCATGGGCAAACTTTGACTCTTGGGGTGTTTTGGACTTCAACTCCCACTATTCCTAACAGAATTGGCCCCTTTACTTTTCCCACTCCTCGATCCCTCGAGTTTTGAGCAACCCAACCATAGAATAAGTGTTAGAAGTGACCACATGGGCCATCTAGTCCAACCTCATTCTGCCATGCAGGAAAAGGACAAAGTATCCCTGACAGATGGTCATCCAGTTTGTGTTTAAAAGTTGGGAGGAGCATCCACAATATTCCAACCTGAACCTGTTCCAAAAGTCCCAATTCTAGTATTCCAATTTTTTTCTCGCCCCAATGTGGAGACTTTGGAGAAATTCTGAAATGAGTGGGGAAAATTAGAGCGAGAGAGGGCTTAGACCAGACCTGGGCAAACTTCAGCCCGCTCTGGACTTCTACCCCCACAATTCCTAACAGCCTCACGCTTGAGGCTGTTAGGAATTGTGGGAGTTGTAGTTCAAAACACCTGGAGAGAGGAGGGGCTGAAGTTAGTCCATGCCTGGCTTGGACCCAGCTAGCTGCCTTCCCGCGCTTGGCGCGCTCTCCAAAGAGAAAGCAAAGGGGAAAAAGATGGGAGGAGGCGCCCGCGAGGCTGGACTCCGCCCAGAAGCAGCGCGCGGGGAGAAAGGGCGAGGGGCGCGCGCACTCACCTTCCCTCCTGCCCTCCTGCCCTCCCTCGCTCCGCTGTAGCGCCTGGTGGCTTCAGATTGGAGACTTGCACTTACCTGCCCCGGCCGCAGGGGGCGCGCGCACTCTCCCGCGCTCTTCTCTGGCGCCGCCCTCAGGGACGCGCGCGCCTGGTTGCTACTGCTGCAGCTGCCGCCTTGCCTTCCTCCTCCTCCTCCTCTTGTCTTCCTCCTCCTCGCTCAGAGGCCGGCCCGGCTCCACCTCCGCGCCCTGCAGGCCCGGCGCTCAGGGCCTCAAAGCCCCGAGCATCCCCGCCCGGCCCTGCAGCGCCGGCCCTTGCTCTCGCCCCGCGACGGCTGACCGCACGAGCCCTTGCTCCCTGCTCCTCCCTCCTTCCTTCCTTCCTTCCTTCCAGTGAGAAAGAGAAAATGGCGCTCGATTTGTCCCAGGAAGTGACGTCCCGCCTCATTTGCATCTCAGTCAGTCCACCAATGAGGAGAGGCTCGGTCCAGGGCTCCCATTGGTTCCCTCCATCAGCACTAACTCTTCAGGGTGGCTGAGGTTCCCAGTGCAGCCGCTGGGGAGCGCTGTAGCAGAGCCTGGGGGGCCTTCCCTCCACTCACCCTCACCTGGGCCACTCACCTGTCCTCCCTTGGGGCATGGGCACCTCTCCCACCAAGCCAAAGTGGCAACTTCCACGTGATTTTGGGTTGTGACGTCACTGCAGAGGGGTGGGGCCTTGGCTGCATCATCCCATGTGATGCAGTCATGTGGCCATGCATCTCTCTGGCTGGTTTGCATAGAAGGTTGAGGGTGCCTTGTTTGCATCATCAGCAGGCTTCTTGAAACCCCCCTTTACCTCTAACAACCAATGGGACCCATCCAGATTGGGACTTTCATTGGAGGAAGGAGCCCCCAAGTCATCTAAGAAAGGCTGTTGCAAAGTTGGCATCAAACCTGGAAGGCTCTTTGGGTCAACCATTCTTTCCATCTCTAGAAGGTCAAGTTTGTCTTCAAAGAGTAAAAAAAGAAAGTGAAATGGTTGGTTCCTATCATTTGAGGTCTTCAAATCATTCGGAAGCGCTTTCAAATTGGGTTCCTCCAGGGGGGAGCAGGGGCTCGTGTGGGTTCCTACTCCATTTGTCCCACAGTGGCGTGACACGGAACCAAAGTTATACATCTAGCCAACCTGGGGTCCCCAGATGTTTTTGGCCTTCAACTCCCAGAAATCCTAACAGCTGGCAAACTGGCTGGGATTTCTGGGAGTTGTAGGCCAAAAATATCTGGGGACCCCAGGCTGAGAACCACTGAGCTAGAGGAAAGCAGGACCTAAGTAGGAAACTGGTGTTCCTAAAGAACAATCCAAAATCTAAATGTTTTCTTTAAAAAATATATCAACTCAATTTGGATATAACCGCCAGTGTCGTTTCTGGTCCCAAAGCAAATATCAAAATGGAGAGGCCATTGTGATGTTCCTTCAAGTTGACTTTGACTTAATGGTGGCGCTCTTTGAAGGGTTTCTTGGCAAGACTATTCAAGGGAGATTTGCTATTAAATTTCTGAGAGAATACGAATCCCTCAAGGTCACCTAGTTGTTGTCCATTCCTGAACCCTAGTTTCTTGGGAGTTTGCTTGGCAATGGAAGATTTTAATGGAGTCCCCTTCTCTGAAGATGTTTAAACAGAAGCTGGATGGTCATTTGCCTTGAGTGCTTTGATGGCCTGTTCCTACATGGCACAGGCTTGAACAGGATAGCCCTTGTACTTTCTTCCAACTCTATGCTTCTGTGGGTACTACTCCAACTTTCAAATTACTGTATCGTATTAGCTTTCAAAATTCTTGTCTTCCCAGTGTCTCATGATGTACTAGCACAGTGGTTCTCAACCTGTGGGTCCCCAGATGTTTTGGCCTTCAACTCCCGGAAATCCTAACAGCTAGTAAACTGGCTGGGAGTTCTGGGAGTTGTAGGCCAAAGCACCTGGGGACCCATAGGTTGAGAACCATTGTCACAATAGCAAGAAATAAACCATCAAGTGCCCATCATGATTAGTAGATGTGTTAATAGATGCTGTGTGCAGTTTGAAACATGGAGAAATGGACTGTTCGGTTAGAGTAGGGCATGGGCATACTTCGGCCCTCCAAGTGTTTTGGACTTCAACTCCCGCAATTCCTAACAACTGGTAAGCTGTTAGGAATTGTGGAAGTTGAAGTCCAAAACACCTGTAGGGCTGAAGTTTGCCCATGCCTGAGTTAAAGCAGTACACGAGTCCTTTTTCATGTTGTTTTCCATTAGTATAGTTCATGCACTTGTTATTGAAGAAATGCAAGATCTGACCATGATACAAGGTACCGTGAGCACTTGGTATTCACTAGCAGGTTAGTTCCAAGACCCTCCCTGGATACCAAAAGTCCATAAAATGGCCATAATATACAATGGCAAAGTAAGTAATTTCCCCTTCATATCAAATGGAGAACAATTCTAATGAGTGCTGAAGAGAGGCTGAGGATCTGTGAAATGTCAAGACGCTACAGCATGGAATGCCTACATATCACTGTAGTCCTCAAGCTTTTTGGCATGTTCTTCTACATGTCTTGAGCTGTGTTTGGTTGAGTCCATAGATGCCAAACCCATGGATATGGAAAGCTGAGTAACATTTAGATCTGATTGTTGCTCCCATTGAGAAGAGGACAGCTTTAATAAGGAACAAACATCTGGGGTTGATTCTGAGAACCTTGATGAAAGGAACAAGCATCAAGAGCATTACAAAAGGTTCAAATCAAGACTATTCTTTGTTAACCATCTTTCCTTATAGAGAGCCTATGGATTCTCCTGCACTTCTAGCATTCAATGCCAGTGATTAAAAGCTGGAAATGAAGAGGTTAAAAGCATAATTGTCACCTATATAAATAAATTACTTCACAAATATACCAAGGGTATAATGAACTCACATTTCAGATCAACATAACAAATTATGGTAATTGTTTTTTAGCTAGAGGGTGTGATGTGTAACATTTTCCAATTATATTTAAATGGAATGTTAGAATCATTGTAGTTTAATTTCTCAGGTCTGATGCCATTTTCTTTTCAATCCTATGATTAATATGTTTTAAGCAACAGAAAAGCAACAAGTTACGTTTTTATTGTTAACTGCTGTCAAGTCAACTTCAACGTCTAGGGACCCTATGAATGAGAGAAGTCTGAGGGCCCTTCTACACTGACATATAATCCAGAGTATCAAATGATGTAATATTTCTGCTTTGAACTGAATTATCTGAGTCTATACTGCCATATGATCCAATTCAAAGCAGATAATCTGGATTTTATGCAGCTGGGCAGAGAGGACCAAAGTCACTCTACCTTCCAACAGCCCTGCTCAGGTCTTGCAGACTCAGAGCCGTGACTTCCTTGATTGAATCAATTTATTTTGAATGCAGGCTTTCTCTTTTCCTATTGCCTTCTATCTTACCAAGCATCATTGTCTTATCGCATAAGTCATGTCTTTTCTTAGCATGTCTAAAGTATGACAGCCTTAGTTTATTCGTTTCTTCTAGGGAAAATCCCAACCTCATTTGCTCAAGGATCCATTCATGTCTCTTTTTTATTGTCCACAGTATCTGCAGAATCCTTCTCCAGAACCACATCATCATCATCATCATTTAATTACTTATTAATCGCCCTCCATCCGAGAATGCTCTAGAGGATTTACAGCTAAATTGTAAAAGATAAAATACATACATACAAAAATTAAAAGGGATCGAATGCTCTAGTAAAAAGCCAGGTCTTAAGTGCTTGAGTAAAAGGCCCTAAGTCACGCATGGCTCTCATGTAGGGCGGCAAGGAATTCCATAAGGCAGGGGCAGAAATAGAAAAAGCCCTGCGTCTGGTCCTTTCCAAGTGCACTTCTCTAGGACCCGGTATATAGAGTAAGTCGCGTTGGGTTGGTTGTTGCGACCTCCAATGATGGGAGAAGGAGAGGCCTAAGGTACGATGGACCCTGGCCGTAAAGAATTTTAAAGGTCAGAACTAACATCTTATACAGACCTCGGTACTCAGTTGGAAGCCAATGTAAATGTTGCAGCACTGGTGTTATATGGCATTTCATGGGCGTTCTTGTGAGTAACCTGGCTGCCACATTCTGAACGATACGAAGCTTTCGGGTCGTAGACATCAGAAGGCCAACATACAGGGCGTTGCAATAGTCCAGCCTAGACTAGACTGATCGGGGCATGGATGACAGTTGCCAGAGCCTCGTCAGATAGGTAGGGTGCCAGTTGCCTCGCTTGTCGTAGATGGAAAAAGGCCTGTTTGCTGGCAGCAGCGACCTGAGCTTCCATTGTCAGCTGCGAATCCAGGACGACACCTAAGCTCTTAACAGTGGTCGATGGAGATAGGGCGGCACCATCGAAGGTGGGCAACGGAGGAGTCAGACCTGCCGGGCGGCCATGCCAGGGAATCTCAGTCTTTGCCGGGTTCACCTTCAGTCTGCTAGCACGTAGCCAGTTCGATAGAGCTTCCAGACATAAGGTGAAATTGTCTGGAATTGACATTGCTCCAGGCGCAGAAGGAATTGGGTATCGTCTGCATATTGGTAGCAGTCCAGGCCGAAACTCCGAGCCAAACTAGCAAGGGGTCTAAAATGATCTCAAATGAGTTAATTTTCTTCCTATCAACTTTGTTCCCTGTCTAGCTTTCGCAAACAAATATATAGAAATGGGAAATATGATGGCATATATCTTTATAGTTTGGGATCTTGTCTAGTTCCTTCATCACTTCCCTTCACAATCTTAGTCATTGTAGACATCGGAAGGCCAACATACAGGGCGTTGCAATAGTGCAGCCTAGTCCAGCTTGGGAGTGATCCTGGACTCATCGCTGAGCCTGGAACCCCAGGTCTCAGCGGTGGCCGGGAGAGCTTTTGCACAATTAAAACTTGTGCACCAGTTGCGCCCGTACCTCGGGAAGTCTGATCTGGCCACAGTGGTCCACGCTCTTGTTACATCCCGTATAGACTACTGCAATGCACTCTATGTGGGGTTGCCCTTGAAGACTGTTCGGAAACTTCAACTGGTCCAGTGAGCGGCAGCCAGATTGCTCACTGGAGCGACATACAGGGAGCATACTACCCCCCTGCTGTGTCAGCTCCACTGGCTGCCGATTCAGTTCCAAGCACAATTCAAGGTGCTGGTTTTGACCTACAAAACCCTTTACGGTT